GTATTTTGCAAGGGGAAGAACTGGATTGAACTGGAATGGAGTTATACTGTGTTATACAGGAACATGTGGTACAAAAGTAAGTGACCAATTGTGTTAAAATAAGGTATCTTTGGCAAATAGGGAAGAGGAAGATGAGCGTGATCCTGCAATGTTGCCAGTCTGATCAGCCCAGGGACGTGTGACAGATAAAACCTTCCTTTAACTTCTGAGGCGGACTCTTGGCTGTTTTTCAAGGGGAAGTGGAAATATTGCTACAGCACCTGGGATGGACTGGCAGCAATTCCAGGGTGTGTGCCCACCCTGTGCCCTGTGTCTGCGGGGTTAGCCTCTGGCTTGCCATCTGCCGTGGATAATGGCGGGATAGATGGATGTTTGACCTGTATGCTTAAACCGGGGGATAAAAGGTTCCCAGGTCTGGCTGGCGCAGTGTGGGTCCAGCTGGCATGGTGTGCTGGACCTCCTTGGTCTTATCCAGTCTGTCAGGACACCTACTAGAGGTGAAGTCTGAGCTGATCTTGTCTTTTCAAACAACTAGGACATGAGTGTGGAAAACTGAGTGGGAACTCCCCCAAAGAAGAATGCTAAGCAAACCTTGCAGAAGCAGCAACATCAATTCAGGAAGAATTTGGATAACATTCTTTATCCAAGCAAACGCCTTAAGGGATTGTCCTTATCTGACAAGCAGAAAGAATTGAATTCTTGAACCTGAATCGAGCATTCAGCCTACTGGACTGCAGTTCAAGCCGGCAAAGAAAGACAAACCAGAGGACACAAGCGCTCTCGCAAGCAAACAGCTAGATGAGATACTCTGGTCAGTTACATACTCACCACCAATCGACCCAGATGGGCTGAGATGCCCCCCGTGCACAGCTTTTCCTGTGTGCTTCATTGTGGTGGGCTGCAAGTTTTGTGGTTTTGCTCAGGTCTCTGTTCTTAAATCAGGTTAGGCTGGCGTCTTAGACCAGGATGTGATGAGTGTTTTGGTTCTTGTCTGGCTGTGCCTGAAAGCCCTGTGCTGTGTGGTGTGGTTATCCTCGTGAAGGAGAGGCCACTAGAGGCATCGGTTCAACCCGGTGACGTGTGACGTTTTCCAAGGCCACAGGAGCCCGTTAGTCAGCAGTCAGATGACGAGCTGCGATCGGGGCTCAGCGCTGCCGATGAGACACGGGCAGGTTCTGGGAAGTGAAACCCACTTCCCATCAGCGAGTGACAGGAAGTGTCTGCCTTCTCTCCCCACTCCGATGAAAGACTATAATAATTTAGCCTTATACTTATTATTATCATAATATAGCCCTTATCTGACACTCCACTCAAAATGCTTTACAGCATCCATCCACCTGGATGAGAGGTAAGAGATGACTTTATTGGCCATA